ATCAACATTGTCACTTCTCGTTTCGTTAAGCAGTTGCAACTCACTACTCGTCAAAGAAACACATCTATCTCTGGAGTTGGTGAATCATCATTTTTATCAAACGCAACCGTCGATCTCAAAGCACACTCCAGGGATAGAAAATGTCGTACAGCACTGACTGCAGTAATCAGTGGCAAAATTACCAGCCTCATTTTGATTTAAACGCCCAAGGGTGGAACATACCACCAAATCTTGTTCTTGCTGATCCGTGGTTCTACAGTAGTCAGCGTATCGATTTGTTAATAGGAGCTGGCATCTTTTACGAATTACTTTGCGTTGGACAAATGCGATTAGCCGAAAATCTGCCCATTTTGCAAAAAACGCGTCTTGACTGGATCGCATCTGGAGGGATTTCGTTCTCAAACATGAAGCATTCATGTTCTACTGAGCCCGTCATCCAATCGGAAACCGACCAACCGACCAACCAATTGTCGCAACTGATGAAGATGTATTGTGCGAGCAGCTATTCCAAAATACCTTTTCTCGACTTAGATCAGGGCAATACTCAGTTCGTTTGCCTGCCAAAGCCAGTTTTGATATGCTCGGCGATTCATACGATCGTGCCTTACGGCGATTTAAGACGCTAGAGGGCAAATTGCTTAAGGATTTGGAATTGAAGTCGCAATACGCTGCATTCATCAAAGAATGTATCGACCTACAGCATATGTCACTTGCTTCTGAGCAATCAGTAACCTCGCAATATTACTTGCCTCATCATTGTGTGCAGAAGCCAGATAGTACAACTACAAAGTTACGAGTTGTATTCGATGGATCAGCTAAAACGACCTCAGGATACTCTTTAAATACCCTCAGTGCAGCCCAAAATCTTCAACACACTGCTTCGTTTTCGTTTTTGCAAAGTTGCATTATGCGGGGACATCTGCAAAATGTATCGATTTGTCCTTGTCACTATCCCTGATAACTATTTGCACTACGGCACTAAGCCGGTTGCATTTCTGGCAATTCGTGCTATGCAGCAGCTATCCTATGATGAGGAAGCTGAGTTTCCGTTGGCAGCCGAAATAGTTTGAAGAGACTTTTATGTAGACGATCTCATATCTGGAGGTGACTCGATCGAGGAGGCAGCTCAAATTCGTGAGCAGGTGAAGGAATTGCTATCCAAGGGTCAAATGAGGCTACAGCTTTAGAAGGCGAGCCAGAAATTGATCTCGAGAAAACGCTTAGATTTCATGATGGAACTGATGTCTTCAAAGCACTCGGCTTATATTGGAATGCAAAATCGGATCACTTGTTTTTTTCATTGTCTGCAACTATGGCAGAATGCGGTTCAACGAAAAGATCGATTTTATCGGCCGTTGCCAAGTTCTACGACCCTCTCGGATTGATAGCACCGATTGTTACCAAGTTGAAAATATTTCTGCAAATTCTTTGGAAAGACAAACTGGATTGGGACGAGCCGTTTCCGCAATCCTTGCACTCCTCATGGCTGGAGCACATGAAGCAGATTTCAGCGGTCAAGCATTTAAAATCCCCAACTCATCGTTGGAGATACACGCTTTTTGTGACGCAAGTTTAGCAGCGTATGGCGCCTGCGTTTACGTCAGATCTGAACTTCATGGCTGTGTCTCAACTCATTAACTTTGTTCCAAATCTAGAGTATTGCCCCTAAAAACCTTTACTATACCCAAATTGAATATATGCGCAGCGCTATTGTTATCAGAGCTCATCTCAAACATTGCCCTAACCATTTCATCTGATTGTAATTTTTATTGTTGGTCTGATTCAACCATAACGCTTTCTTGGATTCATCAAGCTCTATCAGATTTTAATATTTTTGTATCCAACAGAATTGCGCAGATTCAGGATCGCACCAAGGGCATGATATGGCGTCATGTACCCACACACTGGAACCCTGCCGACATATTATCGCGTGGATGTTCACCTCTCAAGCTTTTGGAGTCGAACCTGTGGCGAGAGGGACCTCCATTTTTACTTTTGGATTCATCGTGCTGGCCAAATATAACGCCTGTCGTGGGCAACTTGCCTGAGCGTCGTCGCATGGTTTTAGTTGTAACCGAGAAGCAGGATATCTCATACGATTGCAAATTTCAAAACTCATTTGGAAAGCTGCAGCGAGTTTTTGGATATACATACCGGTTCTGGCTTCTCAAATTTTAAAATCAAACGCGGCGCAAAGGACCACTCGCAGTCGATGACGTCAAAGGTGGCACACATCTACTCATCAAAGGAATCCAGCGAGTTTTCTTCGCAGAGGACTACAAAGCATTGCGAAAGAACAAGCAGGTTGCATCAAATAGCAAGCTCTCTTCGTTGCATCCTATTCTGGATGACTCAGGATTAATTCGTGTTGGTGGTCGCTTACAAAACTCGCTTCTGGACTACGATGCGAGACATCCCATTTTGCTAACAAAAAATCATCAATCAGTCGCAGCTATCGTAAACAAATGCATCAGGTGTTTCAGACTGAAGCCGAAAATAATGGAGCACATCATGGCCCCCTTGCCGGCCAGCCGAGTGCAACCAAGTCGTCCATTTACAACGACTGGAATCGACTTTTGTGGCCCATTCTAATCGAAATCGGAAGTCAGGAATCGACCGCCTGCGAAGTGTTACGTGGCAATCTTTATTTGCTTCGCAACAAAGGCCTCTCACTTGGAATTAGTAGAGGATTTATCAACCGCATCGTTCATCGCCGCTATCAAGCGTTTCACCAGCTTTAACTTTTCATGAACTTTGTACTCTCGTTTGTAAAGTTTCTGCCATGCTTAATTCTCGACCACTCTGAAAATCCTAGCGACTTGGAGGTTCTCACGTCAACGTCAGCGCCATAGACGAACCCGACATCACCCATCTCAATATCGATCGACAAAGTCGCTGGCAGCGAGTTTGCCAGATGCAGCAGGCGATTTGGCACAAGTGGAGCGCTGCCTACCTATCGCTACTCCGAGAACGTGGGAAATGGCGATCAGAAAAGGCAAATTTGTCGCCCGGCAGCATAGTCATCATTAAGGACGACAATCTTCCTTCACTCCAATGGCGCATGGGCAGAGTTGAGAGCATCGTTCTTGGACCAGATGGCGTGGCCCGTGTTGCAGTTATTCGAACAGCTGCAGGCATCATCAGAAGAGCTGTTGGCAAGTTGGCCGTTCTGCCTTTTGAGGCCACCTCGTCTGTCAGCGTGACTCTTCCAGCGGGGGAGCATGTTCGGAGCAGAACCCCTAACTGTTTACATTTCGATTTCCTAAATTCTATTCAAATTCAAATTCTAACTGCTAACGTTAAATTTGTTTACCAACACCCGTCTAATTGCTATCGCACCTAGCTTTGCTTATCTCTCTTTCACTATCTTCATTATCGTTCTTCTTTTCGCAACTCTAAACTTCTATTCATTTTTTTTTCCTTCTCGCTACACCCTCGCAAGCACATGGTGTGCCAAATTGTCGGTCGCAATCGTGTATACGCATAATACATATATCATACATAAACCAAATAGTACTCAGAAACTCAAATACAAAATCACATCTCATTTAAATCATAAATCATTGGCCTTATTTTGAAAAGTGCATAAAGCGGTAGCAACAAATTAGTTGCAGTCCTCTAAACAAAGACTCTTCAGAAAATATTAACAAAAAAAGAATATTTTTTCGCCCTTACGACGGAATATAACACCTTAATAAACAAAACAATGAAATATCTTGTCGAATAACTTTGTACCGAAAGTTGTATATCAGAGATTTGGTGTGTTCAAGATTAAATCGCTACAGTTTTTATGCAGTGAAGCCTCAGACCCCATAAAGTAGATATAGAGTATTCTTGATCAGCATCACCATCTGAATCGAAATACGTACGTCTGGGCGTCTTTCCTCCAGTCTGTTTCTATGCAAACTAGTCTCTTAGTTTTAAAGCAATCTTTCTGAAACTTTCCCAAAAGTTGTGTAGTTATTGCACGTAGTATATAAGTCGGAACGTGCGGGACCAGCCGACTATATCGGTTAGCTCCCATACGAAAGAACGAAATAAAAAATTTTCATTTCGGACTAAATTTTATTAAAATCGGATAACTCTATCGTAAAGCTGTCATAGGAAAGATCGAAAAACATAAATATGTATAAATAATGTCAAAAAATAACAATATCGTTGTTCCTTATCCCAAGGGAATGATTTTAAGAACATCTAGTTTTTTAAATACTTTTCAATCAAGAAAAAAAATTCATAAAAATCGGACAACTATATTATATAGCTGCCATAGGAAAGTTAAAAAAATCTATACCTATAGAATTAACGGAAAACGAATGATAACGTCGCTGTTGTTCATCAGACAAGCATGATTTTTGGAATATAAAGTTTTCTAACCCTGAATTTTGAATTAAATTTCAAAAAATGGGACGACTATAGCATGCAGTCATTTGATGACTGCAAGGGTATATTGATAATTTTTTTTTAATCTGTCGTATGGCAGCTTTCCGATATAGTCGCCCGATCCGACATATAGAGTATACTGTGTGCAATAACTACACAATTTTTGGTAAGGTATCAGCAAGATAGCTTTAACTGAGAGACGGACAGACGTACAGACGTATTTCGATTCAGATCGTGATGCTGATCAAGAATATATATACTTTATGGAGTCTTAACTGCTGACTGAAATTGTAATACTCTCTGCGAAGGTATAAAAACGATTAACAAAGATGTTACAGCAATTTTCGTTTAAAAGATGATACAAAATATTTATTTTATTTTATACACATAAAAACAATTTTACGGCAATTTTGAGCCTCATATCTTATTTCACCTCGACAAATTAGCACAATTCGAATTGGAATAAACAGTGACAGAACAGTGTTTGCTGAAATGTTGACTTTTTACCAGTGCTGACAAATAGTTTTTTGTATTACCTGTATATGTACAAATACGTAAAAGAGTAAACAATCAGACTGATTGGCTGTTGACTGGTCAGTGGTGCTGGTGATTCTTATTAGTGCAGTTTAGACAACTTAAACTGAAGTGTGAATTTTGGGCGGAGCTGACTGAATATCAATTTATGAAGATATAGGTGTTTTTTTCATTATCATTATTTTGTTGTTCGTTCTCAAAGTAAAAAGAAAATGAATCGGCAGCTGGAAAACAGCGCGTGCTTAAGTTTTACTAACATTGATTTCTCTGATAACACTATAAATGTTTTAAGTGCTAAAAATTACAAAAATATGGAAATAGCAAAAGCTGGACGATTTGGACTTTTTAGTATAGACAATATACTAGGCACTTCTGAAACTTGTTCCAAAAAAAGTTGTCTAGCTGAGGAAATCGCAACTACTACATCTCAAACGGAACGTAAGAAAACTGATTTTTTTTACAAAAGTATAAACAAGGTAGACGAAGTGTCAAAATAAATCTTACTACCTTAAAGGCATATACAAAGGTTATACAAAATACCAAGTTATTTATTTAAGTTCAATAGCGCGCAGGACTAACGATCTTGCAAATTTTACACAAAAAGACAGTCGGTATGGTATTTTGAATATTAAGAATTTGGTTTATTTATCCATTAAAATTTAAAAAAAAATATTTTCATATTAAGTTCATAGTCGAGAAAGTTATCCTGGTGAATGATACACATCGGCAAGCCAAAGCTTACTATATATACCCTTGCAGGTATCAAATATGTTGAACAAAATACATCAAGGCTAAGCCTCGAAGCTATGTAAATTTTTAAATTTTTTTTAAGTATCTATATACTCGACGATTGTTCATATGACAGCTATATGATATAGTCGTCCGATATTTATGAAATTTAATTCGAAATTCAAGAGTCATTATGCTTGTCTGATGAGAAACAACGGTGATATCACTTTTTTCCGTTATATTTCGTTTTTATACACTTGCAAAGCAAAAGGATAATATAATTTCATAAACTACTAATAAACCCGACGAACTCCGTTCCGCCTCTAGATGGCGATAGTTTTATGTACCTAAAATTTCGTTTGGTGTTTAAAAGATAAAGAAAATTTTTTGTTTTGTTTTATATATGAAAAGGAATCATTTTATTTCATTTCACAACAGTAATGAATTCATGTCGGGTCTATTATTTGATGTTTGTCCGGGAAGCAGCAATTGAGTAATTTCTATCCATTTTGGATCGCTGGCAGAATAGTTATTCGCCCAATATTACCTGCATTTTCTTCAATACTAACTGCATCACGTAAATGGATGTACTCTTAGAACGCAGTTTGGATTGGTTCAACCTAATAAATGTTTCTATTTTTACATACAGCGGCTCTCAGCTTATTTCGTGCAGTAACCTAAAAAAAGTTCAAGTCCTTATTCCTGCTAAACTAAGAAAGATAACAGAAAAATTTAAATGCAGTATTTTAATATGGAATATTAACTTATTTATTGAACGAAAGCGATTTTCAAAATCATAAAAACTAAAAAATTATTTAATAAAAACAAAATGAACAGCCTTTTTTCATGTTGCAGCTTATTTCGTGCAGCAGATTCTACTTAACTTATTATTAGTAATTTAACAGATACTGTTTTGTATGTCCATCTTTCTGGTTCAGGACATCTTTGAGATGATTTCCCATGGAGCAAAATAACTTTTTAGTGGTTTTCACTAGAATTTTTTGACATTTTTCCATAAGAACAGTTTTCAGGTCGTTTTTGTTCGAAATCTTCCTCTTCCTTATAGCTATTAAGGAATATTTTCCAAAAAGTTTCGATGACTTTTAAATCTGGAGACTGTGCTGTCGTTATCACGACATAAGGGCAGTTCCAGATAAGCCAAGACTTCACAATTCCTGCTGAATGCTTCAAATTGTTGTCTTCCTAAAATCGAAAACGATCGCGTTTGCCCAGTTTTTCAGCAGTTTGGAGTAGGTTATCCTTTAAAATCTTGAGTTATCCATGATGCCATCAATGAAAATGAGTTTGCCATACAGGCCCAAACCATGACGTGACCATGTCAACGCAATACTGCTGAAACAATCGACGAAACCGCAGAAACCGCAGCAAACAGTATTTTGACGAATCATCAAACGATATGCGTAAAAATTCATTGAGCTAAATTTCTTTCTTCACCTGAAATCAAAAATTTGATAATTAACCATTTCAAAGGCAAATTTTAAAGGCAAAGAATACAGGCATGAGCCCTTTTTTTTTTAATAAGCATTATTTTAAATCAGTGTCTTTTAGAAATAAATGAAATAAATTATGTTACTAATACTCACCATTCAATAGATTTATCATTATACCCTTGCAGAGCAAAAGGGTATTATAATTTCAGTCAGAAGTTTGCAACGCAATGAAGGAGACACCTCAGACCCCATAAAGTATATATATTCTTGATCAGCATCACGAGTAGAATCAGAACACGTTTGTCCGTCTGTCCTCCTGTCCGTTTCCGCGCAAACTAGTCTCTCAGTTTTAAAGCTATCTTGCTGAAACTTTCCCAAAATGTGTATAGTTATTGCACGCAGTATATAAGTCGGAACGGGCCGGATCGGCCGACTATATCGGATAGCTCCCATACAAGAGAATGAAATAAAAAATTCTTACTCCGTTGTTTTTGATCAGATCGACTTGATTCCTTTCAGATGGCGTTTTCTAACTGCTATTGAATTTCGGATTAAATTTTATCAAAATCGGATAACTCTATCATATAGCTGCCATAGGAGAGATTAAAAAATATATAAAAATATAAATATAAATAATGGGAAAAAAATTATAATGTCGTTGTTTTTAATGCCACGAGCATTTTTTTTGGAACATAAAGTTTTTTAAATACTCTTAAGTTGAATAAAAAATTTCATAAAAATCGGACTATATCATATAGCTGCCATAGGAAAGATCGAAAAATCTGTATAGAAATATCGGAAATAAAATTATAACCTCGTTGTTTTTCATCAGACAATCATAATTTTGGTAATATAGAGTTTTCTAATGGGTCTTTAGTTACAAATTAAATTTCATCAAAATCGGACGACTATATAATATAGCTGTCATATGAACAATATGGAAAATTAATAGAAAAATCGTTATAGCTTCGATGCTCTTTAGCTTTTATGTATTTTGTTCGTCATATTTAGTAACTGCAAGGGTATATAAGCTTCGGCTTGCCGAAGCTAGCTTCCTTTCTTGTTTAATAACCCTTACATCGAGAAAAAATTTCATTAAAATCCGACAATTGAATTATGAAAAAAATTTCATAAAAAAAATTTCATAAGGTTCGAACAACTATCTATGTATATCATATAGCTCCCATAGGAAAGATCGAAAAGTCTGTATAAAACAAAATTATTGCATGTCTGTTTTTTTATACCCTTGCAGAGCAAAAGGGTATTATAATTTCAGTCAGAAGTTTGCAGCGCAGTGAAGGAGACACCTCAGACCCTATAAAGTATATACATATATTCTTGATCAGCATCACGAGAAGAATCAGAATACGCCTGTACGTCTGTCCGTCCGTCCGTCCGTCCGTCTGTCCTCCTGTCCGTTTCGGCGCAAACTAGTCTCTCAGTTTTAAAGCTATCTTGCTGAAACTTTCCCAAAAGGTGTGTAGTTATTGCACGCAGTATATAAGTCGGAACGAGCCGGATCGGCCGACTATATCGGATAGCTCCCATACAAGAGAATGAAATAAAAAATTCTTACTCCGTTGTTTTTGATCAGATCGAATTGATTCGTTCCAGATGGCGTTTTCTAACTGCTATAGAATTTACGGATAACTCTATCATATAGCTGCCATAGGAGGGATCAAAAAAATATATATATAAATAATGAAAAAAAATTATTATGTCGTTGTTTTTAATGCCACGAGCATGATTTTTGGAACATCAAGTTTTTTAAATACTCTTAAATCGAGAAAAAAATTTCATAAAAATCTAAGTACTATATCATATAGCTGCCATAGGAAAGATGGAAAAATCTATATAGAAATAACGGAAATAAAATGATAACATCGTTGTTTTTCATCAGACAATCGTGATTTTTGGAATATAGAGTTTTCTAATGAGTCTTGATTTAAATTTCATCAAAATCGGACGACTATATCATATAGCTGTCATATGAACAATTTGGAAAATTAATAGAAAAATTGTCATAGCTTCGATGCTGTTTAGCTTTTATGTATTTTGTTCGACATATTTAGTGACTGTAAGGGTATATAAGCTTCGGCTTGCCGAAGCTAGCTTCCTTTCTTGTTTTAATATTAAAGTATCCATCTTCTCCTTGCCAAAACATTAGCGGGTATTGAAATGCGTCATATGATCGAGGAGTTTCAGATATTTGTTGCAGTTGCCCAGTATCGCGACGTTTGAGCACAATATCGCGGTTTCCAAATTGTTCACCAACAATCAGGATGGCGACTTCGTCTATTGTCGGAGCATTAAATGTCCTTTCGTGTGTTCCAGATGGTCGTTTATCTGCTTTTATGACAACTTTATAGTCATCATTTGGCATTCGCTCTAAAGTACTCTTAAACAACCTGACCATCGCATGATGTTCATGAAGCAGACACTGCAAGTCTTGAAGAATTACTCGCTTCATCCCTTCATTGATCGCTAGACGTCGATCAAGTTGTTCTTCCATGTTGCCCATGAAATATATTTGTAAAAATTTTTTTTGTGTATCTTCGAAAGGTAGTAATGATCCAATTCGATGGTGAATCTGCCCTTGTATCTAAGATAAAGTAAGTTATTCTTTAACTATATTCTATGTAATACAAACAACAAAAAAAACTTAAATGTCGGATTAAATCGTCGTTCTTCGATAATATCTGCCCCAAATGACGTCATTTGGACACAACCATTGTATTTTTGAGTACTTGCAAGAAAGTGGCGTGATTCTTGTGTTTCACCACAAAGCAATGAATACAATGGCTCAGGTGGCGGAGTCAACAATGGCAATTTCACTTTACCATTAAATCAGCATAATCCAGGCGTTTCTCCGGAAAACTTCAATACACCGCAATACTCGCAAACAACGTCCATTTGCCCAATGCAAACGCTGGGATGCAAGCTGTTATAAGTGATACAATCGTATTGAAACGCTGCTCGATTCATTTCTTGACCTCGGTTGTAAGCTCGACGATTCTGCATTGTCAACCGAGCCGTGTTACGGGTTGCCTCACTTTGTGCTCCTGATTGAGAAGCACGAAGTCGACCCATACTAACGCGGCGCTGCACAGTGGTTCCGCCAGTTGTTATATTGCTACGAAATACCATACAAAATATCGAACCAAATTTGAAACGTGTTGCTATTTTCAGTTTCAAACTTTAATTAATAAATTTAAATAATATTTTGAGAGACAGAAGGCGTGGTTTCTTATCCACCCACAAACATTAATCCATTAGTTTGAAAAAAACATAATTATAGTAAGAAACAAAAAAAAACAAATTATAGCAAAAGAAAACAAAATTTGTAAAATTAAATAATAACAATAGGTATATATCAAAATGAAATTAGTAAAGATTTAGGAAAATTTAGCTATAAGTACTAGACTTTAGGTGAATAAAAATGTGGTCAAAGGCTGTAAGTATACATAGCTTATTTTTTCTATATCTGTCTTCATAAAAACTTGTGTTTATGTAGGTATAATAAATTGCATTAATAAATATTTCTACAGCGTAGGTATACAACAAAAACGTTTCAAGTCGTAACGTGTTCATTTTGCCGTCCGCGCCGAGCGACAGTGGTGTCATTTTTTTCTGAGCAAAAAAAACTGGATAAACGAAAAAACACCGGTAGCACTCCGGGAGTGCCGGCAGAAGTGAAAACTTCAATATTAACGTTGTGTTTAATTATAAGTATGTATAAAAGTACTATCATTTATGAGGTAGAATACAATGTTTATTTATTGCGCTATCGTACACAAATATGACAATTTATATGTTGTTATTTATAATATTATATCGTTCAGGCAGGCTCCGGTTTTCACTTTCACAAGATTCTCTCGTTTTCGTTTTCGAAAACGAGAATTGGTGCTCCCGTTTTCACTTTCACAAGACTTTTTCGTTTTCAAAAACGGGCCAGTTTTTTTTGTCGAAATGAAAAGTAAATGCCTTTTTCTAGATCAAAATGGTTCTTAATTGCAAAAGGAAAAAAATAGTTGACTCCTTGGTCTATTGATGTTCATTTCACATCATCAGTAGGTCAATCTAATTCGTATTTATTTTTTAAATAATTATTTTCTGACCCCACCTTGATTTCATACATAAAATATTTGCCGTCGGCAACAACAAATTTCGTTTTGCTAAGGGGCCGATAAATCTATTGCCAAAAGTTATCGTCAATGCTGCCGTACTTGTAGTGGAACAAAACAACCACTTAAAAATACTTTTAAAATTAAAACGAAGAAAAAAATATTTGTAAAGAAAAGTTTAATAAGCTTTTTATAAATAAATATGATTAATTTAGTTTCTTAAATGGCAAAAGTTCAGTAAAAAAGTGGTTGAGAATAGTGGAATGAAAGCTGCAAAAAAGGTGGCAGCCCCTTATTGTGGGAAACAGCTGATTTCTGATGGAGGCTTATTTGAACTTTTAAGAATGTAAGTAAGACAACTTAATTGCATCTAAGATGTCTCGATTTTCTTAAATCAATACATTTCTGCCTTCTTTTGGCTTCAAAACAGGCAATTGAAAATATAAAAGCCATTTTTTCGCGTTGTTTACTTTTGACCAAAAAAAGTCAGCTGTTTGAACCATTCCGATAACGAAACGATGACAAAAGTTTGTGAAAACCGGAGCACCTAAAACGAAAACGTACGTTTTCGCCCAAAAACGAAAACGAGAAAAAAAAGTGAAAACCGGAGCCTGCCTGGTTATTTATATATTACATTAAATTTCATCTCTCAGAAAAATCAACTTCCATCCATAATTTCGACGACTTTTACACTATCGTTATTATCAGAATCATCATCCCAAATTTTTACAACTGATACAATTGGTTTATGATAACTGAAGTAAGAAACAAACAGTTTTGATTCGAACCTATTTAAGTGTTTAATAAAGACCGCATCAATAGTAGTTTTGTATTTCGTTGTGCTAAAATTGCGATCATTTGACATAGTTAAACCAATTCTTTATTTAAAAATTCAATTAATGATTGATTTTTATTGTCTGCAAAGTTTATATTGAAATCTCCATGGTATTATAAGTACAAGGTAGTCTCGTCGGCATTTTTCCCCCTATTAGGCACGACAATGAGTGCGAGTGAGAGGGTGTTTTCCCGTAAGTGCGAAAGAAACAGAAGAAGATGATGTCGTTTTACCCTTATGCTGTGCACGGGGTTTAAAAAGGACTGTTATATGACCATGAGTATTAATTTTTTCGAAATTTTCGGTTTTTACACAAAGCTGCCCTTCAGGACTCGCTCCCATATTTTTCACATTTTAAAATATTTTTCTGCAATATTACATGTTACGCCTTGTATGTGCTTGCTGCAATAATTGCGACAAGTATTTTTCACAAGCACACAAGGGTTAACGTTTTGAGAAAAAATCGTCCGCGGACAACCTCTCACTTCGAAATCCCGAGCGCACTGAACCATAGGGGGAAAAAACCCGAGCGATTTTGCAGCCGACGAGACTACCTTGTATAATTGTACCATGACTCAGGCACGGTAGAAAGAGTGGGAGATACTAGTTCCTCTCCCTTCCCCTCGATCTTACGCTTTTTCGATCAGCATAACGGGACCCTGACGCGAGTTTGAATGTTTTTACCCTTCTCAGCGCCGCTAAAAAAGTTTTCACTTCAAAAAAAAAAAGCGGTTTTAAAGGCCAAAAAAAGGGCCATGTTTGATCTTTTTTGCGGCGAAATGAGTAAGTTTATTTTATTGAGCTTAATTACATGTTATTGTTTAACTTTTGAAGAGTATTAGAAAAAAAAATTATTAAAAAATATTGAGAAATAAGCCTGTGGCGGTTAATCTTCCGCAGCGCCTTAAGAAAAAGTTGTTTTGCGGTGAACATCATAGGGCGTTAACGGATCATTTTAAAAATAAAATGTGATATGCGTTGTAAAGATAATGAATTTCCCGAGGTAATCAGGAAGAGATTTTTTTAAATTTATTTTTTGTCTATTTTTGGGAGCACTTGAAAGTGAAAAGTGCGATTTTAGCTTAAAAAATCGCTGTTAAATTATTTTTTAAAAATAGAAAAAAATTAAAAATTAAAAAAATCTCTTCCTGATCACCTCCGTATTTATGTTGAGAATTTGTGTTAAAAATTTGAAAAGGATCGGTTCAGTAGATTTTGAGTTCTGATGTTCACCGACTTTCAAAATAACGTCTTCGGCAAAATCGATTCAAAGTATTTTTATACGTGAAAATACGTCCGAATACGGTTGTTTAAAACGCTGTAACTCCGTTAGTTTGACTTTAATTGACTCAAAATTTGTACACAATGTTCTCGACATATTGATCATTCAGAAAAAAAATAAAAAAAAAAAAATGTAAAAAAAATTTTTAAAACCCCCCCTTAATCAAGGCATACAGAGAGAGTGTTGAGACGAGATTTGAAAAAATGTTTGACGTCACTACTCCTGAAGCGGAAAATGCGGCATTATCTTACCCAAGATTCAAAAATAAATGGTTGGCTTGTTTTGAGCCCAACGATCGTTCTAAACTTCTGAAAATTTTCAAGACCTGCATTTCCAAACAAATGAGTGAAAATACAGTGGCAACAGTAGCAAGAACAAAAAGTTCCCAAGAAAACATTTTTTTTTAATTTTGACTCTGACTCAGACTCGGATATTTCAAACTTAGATAAAAACGGATGCTCCTCCGATGCCCCAATGACTAAAGCAGAAAGCCAAGTTTTACAACTTCTCAATAGATATCCTGAGATAAAAAGTGTTTTTATTAAATACAACACACCTTTGCCATCGTCAGCTGCAGTGGAACGTCTTTTTTCTTTTGCGACAATGACAAATCTGCCAAAGAGTCACAAACTATCAGACAGTATGTTCGAGAAGAGAGTGGTACTGAAGTGTAATTTAAATTATTACAAGAAATTTTAAATTGTTATTGTCTATCTAATCATGTTCAATTAAAAGTATTGATTATTATTTGGATCGGTCTTTTATTTTATTCGGTATTTTATAATTGCTATTTTTAATTAAATTTAACAAAACAATTGAAAATTAATAAATTGTTAATTGTCACTAATACAGTTAACAACTAAATAATTGTTAATTGAACATTTTCACAATTACAGTTGATTAATTGTTAGTTGTTGTGGTTACATTTACCAATTAATTAATTGTTAATTGCAATTAAAATTTGTCCAACACTGGTGTATATATACAGTAATTTATTCACTTTAGTCTGACTGTAAGCTAGTTGCCTTCCTTGTTAATTATACAATTATCTTATACTCTTTTAGGTGTTAAAAATATACCAGATGACTTCTATCAAAGACAGGGAAATGGAAATGGCGAGTTGACATTTGAAAAATTGTCTCCAAATAGACACAGATTCCGTTATACCATTAATAATGTCAATCACTCACCATTAAAATGGCAACCAAAGAACATTTGTCCCTCTTACACGTCTAATTTAATTAACTTTCAAGGTATACTTTTCCATTCTTTGATCCAAATGTACTAAAAATTAATTATTACCTATGTTTACTTCCAAGAAAAACAATTTAGGAAGCAGGTTACAGACCGAAAACCTCGTCAAGCCTACAATGCCTTACAATTGGAACGTCTGGAAAACGAGTTTAAATTAGATAAATATCTTAGTGTTGGTAAACGTGTTGAGCTTTCCAATTCATTATGCTTAACTGAAGCTCAAATAAAAACTTGGTTTCAAAATCGTCGTACAAAATGGAAGAAACAGTTGACATCTAGGTTGAAAACAGCGCAAAGACAAGGACTATGGCTTCCAACTCTACCAATACCAACAATTTATCCACACGTAGAACTTGAAACCCATTTGCGCGTTATAAAAGCTGAACAAAAAAAATAAACAACAAAGCCATATTATATCTGCATTTGTTTTATTATATAAGTACAGTGATTTTGACAGCACTGACAAATAATGCAAACAAACACTTTTCTGTTTCACAATAAAACTTGGGTAATTGTTTACAAGTGCGGTGCACGGTAAATACAGCTTAAAAAAATAAAGTAAAATATGGAAACGATGTGTTTTTTTCTAAAACTTCGAAATCCGTTGGCGGAGAGTGAAAATTTTGCACCGTTTTTTTGTTATTAACAATTAAAGATTCGATTTGTAGTACAAATTCGGATCTGAGTGACCGTATTTGCAATAATCGGCCACCAGACGACTGCAATAATCGGCACATCACATGCAAATACGGTCACTCAGATCCGAATTTGTACTACAAATCGAATCTTTAATTGTTAATAACAAAAAAACGGTGCAAAATTTTCACTCTCCGCCAACGGATTTCGAAGTTTTAGAAAAAACACATCGTTTCCATATTTTACTTTATTTTTTTAAGCCGTATTTACCGTGCACCGCACTTGTAAACAATTACCAAAACTTGAATTAAAAAAATTGATTGACGAGGATGTTGAACATATTAGGTTGTCAAAAAGGATAATTGTTTACAAGTGCGGTGCACGGTAAACACAGCTTTAAAAAATATGGAAACGATGTGTTTTTTTCTAAAACTTCGAAATCCGTTGGCGGAGAGTGAAAATTGCGATAAAATCGCTGAATTGGTCGAAAGAGACCGGCATAGTAGCAGCCGTAGCATCGGTCAAGTGCTGGGCATGAGTCATCAAACCGTTAGTAACCATTTGAAGAAGCTTGGAGTCACTAAGAAGCTCGATGTATGGGTGCCACACGAATTGACGCGGTGAAGCGGCCCAGACGGTGGCCAAGCCTGGATTAACGGCTAGGAAGGTTCTTCTGTGTCTTTGGTGGGATTGGCAGGGAATAATCCACTATGGGCTGCTCCCCTATGGCCAAACGCTCAATTCGGACCTGTACTGCCAACCACTGGACCGCTTGAAGACAGCACTCATGCAGAAGGGGCCATCTTTGATCAACAGAGGCCGAATTGTCTTCCACCAGGACAACGCCAGGCCACACACATCTTTAGTGACGCGCCAGAAGTTCCGGGAGCTTGGATGGGAGGATCTTTTGCATCCACCGTATAGTCCGGATCTCGCACCAAGTGAGTACCACCTGTTTCTGTCCATGTAGAACGCGCTTGGTAGTCTGAAGTTGGCCACAAGAGAGTCCTGTGAAAATTGGCTCTCCGAGTTTTTTGCCAATAAGGAAGCGAGCTTCTATGAGAGGGGCATTATGAAGTTGGCATCTCGTTGGGAACGCGTCATCGAAGAAAACGGCGCATATTTGACTTGAATCGCATTATTGTAACCAATTTTATGAACAATTGAAAATTAAAGAAAAATACCGCAAGACTTTTTGACAACCTAATATATGTATATGTTACATTTAAAATAGGTACTAAATTAAATTCACATAAAAATATTTGCAATGCAAGCGAAGATGCAAAAAAAAAACGAATTAATTTTTTTATTTTAAAGCACGATTTTCCTGTTAAAAGTTTTTTTGTTGTTATGATTTTTGCCATTTCTTATTTAGGGGAGGGTGGCCCGATACCGACCCCCTAAATGGCAAAGGCGATAAAGGTGAGAAAAATCAATTTTTCCGTTCAGTTCAAAAATTTACTATGTAGAAGGATCAGTTTACTATACATCTAAATGATTAGTAAGTGCGTAGGTGCTTTGAAGCGTTAGATATTCAGGCAAATATAAAACTCCACTTTTTGGTCGTACTCAAAAGTAGTGGTCCGAAACCGACCCCCTATTTCTTAACAGAAAAATTTAATAACATAAAATAGAATTTAATGATTTTGACGTTTATTAAGAAATATAATGAAGGTTCTTTCCAGAAAATAAAAATTAATGTATGAAATAAAGGGCACTGTAGTCAATTGATGAAGTCTGAGTTGTCCTCTTTCTCATAGTAAGGAGTCGCGTTGTTTTTCGAAAGCCGCTGGTTGATGACTGTCTCTTCGCTTTCTTCTGATGTTTTTGCTGTTTCTGTTACTTTTCTTTACTGAATCTTGTTTACTTTTTCATATTTTCCCTCAAAAATACGCTATGACATATTAAGCTGCCAATAAATGGGGGTCGGTTTCGGACCATCACTTCGCGGTCGGTTTCGGACCACCACAACCTTTTCTAATTAACTGCTCGCCATTATCTAATGACGCAAAGAGCGATGTGATTCTAATAGCGTGAATGACAGCTAGGACTATCAACTATCAGAAAACCTTACCTTCCGATTTTTATGCGGAGAAAAAAAAACTTTAAAAATATTTAAGCTCAAGTTCAGTAAAGAAAAAAAAATGAATGTCACAGGCGTTGAAACAAAACAAACGGAAAAATTTCAGTGAAACAAAAGAAGTCAAATTGGCTATCTATCTCCAAAATGTCTGTGTTATAACAGCTTTTCACTGAAGTTACCGACAATTCGGCTAGCATCGCCATCTCTGAGAAACATGGGGGGGTCGGTATGGTACGACCGGTCGGTATGGGACCACTCTCCCCTACATATTGCTTACGAGGTCAGAACCTGAAATCAGAGAATTATTTTGTCTCGGTCTTATTGGAAATGACTCTGTTTAAATGTTCCAATTCATTTCTTTTTTTTTAAATAACTTAAATTTTAGAAGGCTGTGATACGGAAATTAACAAAAAATGTTAAAATTAAAATTTAATAAAAGTTTTTGATTTTATAAAAAATATACATTTTTCATTTAATAATATCTTTCAACATTTCGATATGTTAAAATACAATTTTGGCTCTGTCAATGGGCAAAGTCTAAAAGTCGGGCATTGACTTTCAAAATAAAAGGGAAAAGGAAGAGTTAGAGGCTTGGACTAATTACGGCGGTCCAGCGAAAGTTCTAAACGGGAATAAAATTCCTGATTCGGCATATTGACGGACGGAATAATATCGACGCATTTCCGCGAATGTATCTTATGTAGAAAAATCAAATTTTACAAGAGAAGCTTTTTCTTTATTTTTGTGTTTCGGTATTTTTGCGCGATTGCAGTATTTCCATGCAAATGAAAAAAATTTGTATGGACATACGATAATTTCGCGCGCACATTGTAACATACGATAAAATTGAAACTTAATTTTTATCGGAACTATAGCGCTTTTAGTTATAATATTGCACAGGGTAGTGAGACATTAGGTGCCTAACAATTTTGCATTAAAATCTCAATTTCGAAAAAAAGCGACATACGACTTTCGCGGAAATGCGTCGATATGGTAAAAAGCTTGAAACCGTATGTTGGCGTAGTAAGAGAGGTCGGTTGATCAGGTGTAGTGGTTTTGCACACGGCGATACGTGGTACACTAGTGAAGATAATGTCGTAGCAGTAGCAGTAATGACTGCTCGTTTCGGTCTAATTAATACGCGGAGTTATAATAGATTGATAACTGACACTATTCTTGAGTCTAAAAAATTTTTTACACTAGATTTGTGGTGCGAAAGTTACAGAAAGTGTCCGCAAAAACAAGTGGGTCAGTTATTGGGTGACTTCTTGCGGTTAGCTTTACTCTACTACTTCTTCTCACTTCTGTAATTATTCCGAAAACACAGCTACTACCTGAAACTGATGGTGTTATCTGCATTTGTCATAGCCCATATATTGCTTGACGCCTAACATTGGTGGTGTCTGCTCCAGTGGGGGATCTAGGGTTACTGGCGCCCGGGGCAAAGCGAAAAATTTGAGCCCCTACCCCTCTGCCTTATGAACGTGACAGATTATTGTTTTTCAAATTAATTTGTTTTTTTTTTGTTGTTTAGCTTCATCTTTATTTATTGAATCTTCTCATAAATAGACTTACAATAAGAATTCAAATCTTAACCTATACTAGGTATATATTATTATTTTATATTATTTATCTTTATTTATTTGTTATTTTATGTTTTTTAATTGGTCGACTTTTTTTTCTATGTTGAAGAATATTGTGTACAAATTTTTGGTCAGAGTCAAACTAACGGAGTTACAGCGTTTTAAACGACCGAATTTTGACGTATTTTAACGTATAAAAATACTTTGAATCGAATCCCGAAAACGTTATTTTGAAAGTTGGTGAACATCAGAACTCAAAATCTACTGAACCGATCCTTTTCAAATTTTTAACACAAAGGCTCCACATAAATACACAGGTAATCAGGAAGAGTTTTTTTTTAATATTTAATTTTTTACTATAGTAGAATCCTGTTATAACGACTCCGCTTATAGTGTCCGTCCGGGTATTGCGACGAAATCTCGATGGCTTGATTGGTCCCCAGAGAGACTTTTACACTTAAATCCTTCTGCTTAGAGCGTCTTCCGGGTATAACGACGAAAAATCGTCGGTCCCTTGAAAGTCGCTATAAGCGGATTCTACTGTATTTTTAAAAAATAAATTAACAGCGATTTTTGGAGCCAAAATCGCATTTTTCTTTTTTATCATATAGAAGCCATAGGATAGATCAAAGAATATATATATAAACTAGCAAACCCCGGCAAACGTTGTTTTGCCACCAGATGACTTTATAATTTCTGTGCAAAATTTACTCAGTTCTAGACTTATGTAGAAAGCATGAATTGAATGTAAGAATTGACTTCAGAAACACGTTAGAATCTGGATCCGTGCCGATAAGTAACCCGTTCAATGGTTCAGGTGGTGTTTCAATTTCTGGTAGTTGCACTTTTTAAATTTCAGAGCATGACAATGCGGACATTCCTTGTCCATAGCACCAATTACCACTTTTGATTGAGCATAATACTCAATATCGGGCTCATACTGGAATGCTAGACGCAGTAATGAATTATATATAAACTAGCTGCCCGTCCCAGCTTTGCCCGGGTTTTTTTTTTAAAAGTTGCAAAAACTTTGGTTGTTCATTATTTGCGGGAAGTAAGGAACCAATTCTGTGATACACCTGTCCTTGGATGGTAAAAGTAGGTGAAAATCCAC